TAACTAGCACTTTTCTATAATTTAGTTTTCTTTAAAATAAGAAAAGTTGCAAGTTTACCTAAAAAAGGTAAAATGAAGTTAATTTTTGCCAAATATATTAACTAATTTGTGATTTTAGTGAGAAAGTCAGTATAAGGGACCTCTTAGGCCACTTAAGCCTCTTAGTTTTTTTTTTTTTTTAAATTTATAATATTAACTTGTCAATTAGAAAGGTCAAATGAAAATACTATACGTCTCCTGGGGCACAAGATGGATATATTTAGACGACAGACATGACTGATTTTGTATTTTGCCATTTAAAATTACTATTTAAATGATGCAAAAAATAAAATACCTTACAGTTTTTCGACTATTATTAAGTAAAATAATAAAAAATTTAAAAAATATTTACTAAAAATTATGCTTTGCATGGAATTATCTTTAGATAAAAGAACTTTATAATTGCAGACAAAATATTTTAATTCGTTTAAAAGATATTGTGTAATGCGCCAAAAGTAAAATTTAAATTAAAGGGTGCAAATTTTGCACCACTGTCCTGACTAAACTATTGAGACCATATTTCAGAGATTATGATTACCTTCTCTATTTTGAGGGTCATAAATCAGAATTTGTCGTAAAGAAGGCATGTTTATTCAGAGAATGTACGTTTTTGTGTCTGATTTTGTAACTTAAAATATCGTCTTCAATTAGCATTTGTGAGATCACCCTTCAAACCATTAACATAGAGTCCTAGAACGTCTATATCAGATCATTAGATCAAAAGTTATCTAGGGTGGTCTATTTATTTTTTGCGACAGTTGCGTACTGTACACTCATGAAATGTTGATGTATTTCAATAAAGGGGAACATAATCGAATTCGATGTATTTTACTTCCCAAAAGAGATAAAAGCATTAAAAATTCCAAAATTGTAAATATTTTAAAATTTTCTAGCATTTTTTAAATTAAATATTCGCTGTCAAGAAAGGCATTTAAAGTGGAAGGTTCCAAGAACAAATTTGTGAAAAATTATTTAATATAACAGACTGGCATAGTGACTACATTTCAGAAGTACGGTATATTCTCTTTATCTCAAAGTTGAAGGGACACTAAAAACATTTCGAGATAAAAAGTTCAGAATTAAATATGTTCTAAAAAGTAGAAAATATATTCTAAAATATTAATCTAAAAATTAGAATCTTAAAACAAAAGAATAACTTCGAATAAATATGTATGTAATGATAGTTGACTGTAAGTCTAAATACAACAATGAGAATTTTATATTTAAAAGTAAAACAAAAGTAATTATGCATTAAATAGTTAAGAATTGCTATACAATTAACTTACATTGTGATTTTTCCAAAAAAAAATTAACTTTCTTTTTTGAAACAAAATTCAACATAACAAAGTTTTGGGAATAAACTCTTTGACATAGGAATTTAAAGTAACATTAGGTAAATATTTAATGCCAAGGGGAAAAATATTTTTTTGACAATAAAAGGTTTTCGAGATATCAAGAGTAAGTATACTGTAGTTTGTAGTCAGTCACTACATATAATTAATAAACATTAATTAAAGCTGTAGTTAACTACATTTGTAATAAAGTAGTTGTAGTGAGTTGCAAAAGTAATGTAGTTTTAGATCAAGAGTTATTTAGGGTAGACCATTTATCTTGATGCGAACTGTACACTAATTTATTTTACTTCTCAGGGGAATTGTCGCCGAGACAAATTGTGCCCTCGGTAAGTCATTTCCGGGACAAAACGTGTTTGCAATGAAATGTTGCGACAACCAAAAGGGAAGGTTAATATTAAATAATATTGAAGTGTAAAAGAAACTAATGAATATATTATTGTAATATGGGGCAGTAAATTAAATTAGACTGTAGGCCTATTTCACGGATATTACAGTGCTAGTAGGTTTAGTGATTTTACTGCTAGTGTTATTATTTTAAGTATGTCTTTTTTTTATTACTATAACAAAATATTTTTATTTTTGATAGTTAAAGTGCAAGAGATACTCTTACGTGTTATGGATAATAGTAATAAATATAACTGAATCCTAGATTCATTAGTGTGTTTTACTTTTATGCATTCCTCAAGTTAATAATGCAAAGCATAAAATGAATTAAAAATTGATAAGCAATAATAACAATAAAAAATATCTAAAAACTACTGAATCTTTTATTTAATTTTGCTTTTTAGTTTAGTATTCTACATACTAGATAATCTAGGGTGACTCAAATAGTAATAATAGTAAAACATTAAGATGTTTTAAAAAACTGCATTTTTTAATTTTTTTTATTTAGTAATCATAAAGCAAGTACATCAATATATTAACACAATTATCTTAAACTAGGTCAGTATGTTGCCAATGTTGATCAGATTTATGCGATGATTAAGAGGGAAGGCAGAATATCCTCATTTGCTTTCTTTTTAAAATATGATGCTTATATATTTTAAGACAGTGATCGAAAAAATTGCAATTTTATCTACAACTTTATTGCAAGTATAGGTAACTTTAACTACACTTAAATTTTTTTGGAAGAAGTTTCTAAAAACTTCTTTTGAAATGTAGTCCTTACTTCAGTACTGTTAGGAGGTGAACTTCATAGGAGAACTTACCTTAAACACATGTGCATGGCCAACTGAAGCAGAACCTTCATTGTTTAAGAAACCAATAAATTTGCAATAGCTTTAAATTCCATGACATATAAAAACTACTTTATTTTAGTATTCTAACACATGAACTTAGTTTTTTTAAAGTATTTTTAATTTTTTATAAATAAATATTGAAGTTCAAAAGGGAAATGAATAAGAATAATTAATTTTGATGCACACAAGAGATAGGGACAACACCAATAAACTAATTTCAGCTCTGTTCCATGAATTGGGAGTTATCCAAATATATTACATAAACTTTAAAGCGTCAGAAAAAGTCAGTGGTCAGAAAAATTACTTTACTTTTTTAACTTATGACAACTACTTTATTACTAATGTAGTTAGCAGTTGTTAATGTAGTTAACTTAAACTACCTTTTTTTTTTTTTNCTCATTCTTTTTTTTTTTTTTTTTTTGAAATGTAGTGGCTACAAACTACTTTTGAAATCTAGTTAATACTTCACTACTTTTAGGAGACAAAATTTTCTGGAGAACTTAATTTACACTCATGTTCAAAATAGTTTTGAAAAAGACGCTTATTTAAACGTGAAATATTTATTTAATTAGGAAATTATAATTATTATTAGGACGTACTAAAAATATTTATGTTTACATGAGCCAGTTATTCTAAATTATTTTTTACAAATGTGTTTTTTTTTGACATCCAAATTTTTAGACCCTTCTTGACAGTAAATATTTTCTTAAGAAATGCTAGGAATCTATCAAATATTTGCAATTTTATTAAGCGTTTAATGCTCTTTTTTTGAAATCTTTATAAGAAATGAAGTACAGAGAAAATATGTTCCCTTTCATTAAAATAACATCAAGTATTTTTTTAGTGTTCCACGAGTGTACATTCGCGTTTGGAAGTATGGCCAAAGTGACAAATTATTATTATTATTTGTAATGACTAAATATTAGTAATTATATTAGGGCTGATTGTGCTCCGGAAAAAATCTGGATTTCTGGATTTTTCGCTGACAGTGATCCGGATGTTTCCGGAGATCGAAGGTCCAGATGCTTAAAAAAAATCATTGATCACAGTAGTTTCCGGAAATCAAATTTTCAAAGGTGGAACTTAAAAACACAGTTTATTTTATTTGTTTGTAAGGGAGAGCCAGAAAGATACTTTATAAGCTTATATTCATGATTAATATTCATTTTTTATCAGTAAATAGTTGTTATAATCATAAACTCAAGAAAGAAAGACATATTTGTAAATTTTAATTACTTCTCCAGGTCATCATAGGTATGTGTAAATGGTACAGGTTTGTGTGAAAATTTAAATATATTTTAAGTAAACTAAGAAATATTGAGAAAAAGGAAAAAACCTTGTTTAAATTTTTTTTCTAATTTTTCAATTTAAACTGTTTTTCTTCTTTTTTTTGAACTCAAGAAGATTTCCCGAATTCTGACTTGGGCTCACAATCACCCCTGTTATATATAATGGGCTTGATTAGATTAAAGAAAAAAACTTGCTGCTCTAGAGCATCAAAATTGTTTTTATTAATGCTCGTTCGTAGGGTAAATCTAATTGACAGATCTGAAAAGATTTGTGCCAATCTGATATGAAAAATTAGTTGCGTTTGAACCTCAATTCTTTACTGAATTAATATTAAAAGTAATTGCCAAGAATCACTGCAAAAAACTGTCGTTTCTTTGTATTGCTCTACTTGCTACACTTCTTTTAAGAAGTAGTGCACTACACTACAAACTACGGTGGTCGAGCAGTCAGCGTGCCTGTCTCTGAAGCCATTGGTTAAGGGTTCGAATCCCAGTCATATTAAAAGTAATTGCCAAGAATCACTGCAAAAAACTGTCGTTTCTTTGTATCGCTCTACTTGCTACACTTCTTTTAAGAAGTAGTGCACTACACTACAAACTACGGTGATCGAGCAGTCGGCGTGCCTGTCTCTGAAGCCATTGGTTAAGGGTTCGAATCCCAGTCAGGGCATGGATTTTTCTGTCTCTCTCTCTCTGTGTTTTTCGCTATTGTGTGAAGTGAATGTAGCCCACCCTATAAACAGGTAACTGTGGCAGTGTAGCGTGGGTAATGTTGCTCGCCTCCATGACTTAGGTTCGCAGGTGCCCACTGAGTAACGTTAAATGAGCAACACTTCTGGCATCTTCCGAGGTGAAGAACAAAAGTTTAGTGCTTGCCGTTTAAAAAAAAAAACAAACACACAATACAAGAAAAAGTAGCAATTATAGTAGTTTCACGACATGTAGCACGCTACTTCCAACCTCTGTTTTAAAGCAATTTTTCTAGACTGCGTCAATATGTTGGCTATTGATCAGATTTATGTTATGTTGCATGATTTTGAATTTTACAAAAGTTGTAATTTCTTTCTCTTTTATTTTAGAGGGAAAGCAAACCATCCTTCAGGAAAAGAAGTGACCCAAACATTCCACGATCTAAAAGGTCAGTTTAAAATTAGATTCTATATGTTTAAGAGCAGATTCAACATGTTTAAAAATAGATTCACCATTTATTAACCCATTTTCGGCCAAAGGTGCGTAAATGCACCATTTTAAGAAATAATTTTTTCATTAACACTGTGGCGAATATTTTTTAATCACTTTATTTTTCTGCTGTTTTTAAGGGTTCTGAAGATGTCTATAAAATATTAGTTATTCAATTGGAGTAAATATTCTGTGGAGAAATTTTCAAAACACGCTAGTTTTTGAAATTCAAACGGTTATTGAAAATTTAATTTTTTTTAAAATTAAAATTTTATGGTGCATTAACGCACCATTGGCCGAATGCATGCGAAATAGGCAAAATCTGAACACCTACTCTTTATGCAACACGGTGCGTAGCGTTTTTAAAAAGTTCTTAAAGCTTATTTTCGGTTTGCATTTTTTAAAAGCCCTTAAATGTGCTTTTTTCATTAGGTATTTTTAAAAAATGCTTAATTTTTAATTTTCGGAAATGAGATTTTTTTTCTCTTTACGTTGTCGATTTTCGCCACATTATATGAGCTGGGTTCGGTGAGATTCTTGCACTCTCATGTGCAACTATGTTGCATTTTGCAAGATATTCTCAATTTCAGGCTTCATTTTTCAATATTGAAATGAAAAATCTCTTGATCATTTTATAATGGCCAATATAATCAAGAAGAGAGTTCTTTGTCAGAAACTAGTTATTTTATCATGATCATATAAAATCATTTGATAATTATTTTGCATTTTGTTAATGAATATAGTGCTGAAAAATATTTTTTGAGTGCTTAAAAAGTACTTAAAAGGTACTTCTTTTTTGTTGAGAGATTTGGCTACGCACCCTGATGCAAGGTTTCATAGTTTTATTGTGAAGTTTTAGTGTTATCAGAGTTTTATTGTGCTGAGGCTAACAGTGATCAACAAAAGATGCCATTAGGAACAAGCGTTGTTCTGAAGTTACATAGAGTTGTTTCAAAACCTCAGATGTACAAAATTTATTTTGATAATTTTTTCTCTTCCTATAGTTTATTTGAAATTTTGAAAGAAAAGGGTTTCTTTGCATCTGGCCCAGCTCATGAAAAACGCATAGCTGGTTGTATATTGGATGACTCCAAAAATATGAGTATGAACTTGTATAAAAATATAAATATGAACTTGTATAAATAAATTCCATCGTGGTTCCTACGATTTTGCATTCAGCAAGGATACCGAAACATGTGCAATGAATTGGAACAACAATGTGGTAACAATTGTTACTAACAACGGTACCATTTTTCCCCTTGTAAATGCCAAACAATACAACCACAAAGAAAGAAAAGTTGTAATTTTACAACTCAACGTTATTTCGGATGACAATAAGCATGTGGGAGGTGTAGAACTATGCCGTAGCTAAATAACGAATCAGATTCAAGGTAAGAATTAGTGGTGTCCATTATTTACAAACATCATTGATAGCGTTATAGTAAATTAATGGAAGCTAACTGGAATTTCAACTAGCTCAAAAATATCCCTTATAGACTTAATAGCTATTGCCCTAATAAATCAGAATCAAAGAACAATCCATCTGGTGAAAGTACATTACAAGTTGCCCATCATCAGCATCTCTACCGAAAGAAGTAGGGACTGATAAAATCGGACATACAATAAGTGAGCATGACTAAAAAACTCGCAGACGATGTAAAGTGTGCAAAAACCACTCAATTTATTTATGCATAAAATGTGAAGTCCATTTGCTTTCAGAATTTTTTTAATGTTTCCATTAAAAGTATAACTGTTGAACTAAAGGTATTGTTCATTGATCTGGCCAATGGTGCGTATGCATACCATTTTATTTCTTGAATAAAATATTATCTTTCATGCACGAAACTTATTTTTTGTCATAATGAATGTAATTTAAACATATTTCAATGAAAATAATACCATATTTTATAATGTTTTGTTCCTTGGCCTAAAATGTGTTAAAATCTCATCATTGTTGTTATTAATAGAAAAATTAATGTTTCAGTGATGTGGATGTTGATGATAAAAATAATCTTGGTCTAAATGAATCCAAAAGTTCTTCCAATTCAAGTTTGTCAAACAGGTTTGTAAAAAAAATTTCTTGAATTCTTGAACATGCATAAAAAACTAATCTTTTAAAACTACTCCATTAAATTATCCAACTTTTCTCTCAGTTATTATAATCACCTAATTATTTACCTACTACGCTAATAGCTTAAGCAAATTATATTTTCTCTCCTTTATTTCCTTATCTTCTTTTTTTATTTATCAGAAACTGTTTTTACCACCAGTAAATTACTTGTTATGTAAGATATCAAAATAAAATGTTGTAATATAATAGTTAATCTGTTTGATTTTCATAAATATTTTGCCTTTCATTTATTTTATTGCATAATTTAGGCATTTTGGACTTTTCAATCTTTGTGTTACTTCTTGCTCTTTTATTTAATTCAGAAACTGCTGTGTACTTTTATTAATTGCCATTATGCACTGCACTAAAAAATTCCATTTGCAGTCCTTATTCTTAAGTTAGTATATATTTTTTTCATAAGTTCTGTATTAATATCTCAATTTCATACGACATTTTTTTATGTCTTTGAATATCCCTCTCTTGCATTTGTTTTCTTTTTTTTTAACTAGAAACTGTTATTCACTATATTTTATCCTTTGCACTGCGAGGGTGACTCTATTGTGTGATTTATTAACCCCTTAACGATCGGTTGATTTTCAAGAAGATGGTCATAAAAGGGCTTATTTTGCCAAATACACGTATTTGATTAGTGTTGTCATCCAGTTTAAAATAAACTAACTATCTACAATTACCTTAAAAATATCCTGGTACTGCCATCTAGTGTGTAAAAGGAGAAATAAAATGTTTTCCGTGCAAGAGAAATGAATTAGTTTTATTCTTATTTGCTCGTTACTACTGAACACTCCGGCCTGGAAATTTCACGGGAGTGAGAAGGAAGGGGTTAAAGATATGAAAAGTCATATTTGTAATGCTGCAATGAGTATTAAGAAAGTAAGACTAGTTACAAAGGCAATTAAAACATTTATGCTCATAATGGAGTTAATGTGAAGCAAATCTAATTGGATGATTAATTTTGTCAGTCAAATCGTTAGCAAACTATTTGCTTAAAATGGTAGATAGTAGGTGCGAAAGAATTGATATGATGACATGCGTGTCATCTGCATATGTCAAATCTTGAGCCATGATGGCTCTGGGGATAGAGCGTTTGCCTTGCAATGAAGTTCCAACGATGTCTGGTTGGTACGAATTCCACATCCAGCTTGCACCAACAACACTGCTTACTTAAAATGTCCTCAGTGGTAGACAGATAATGGGTTAGAATCCCCCTGCTGTCAAGATAGCCGTGGGAGGTTTTCATGGTTTTCTTCCCCATGTAAGAGAAATGCGGGTTTGTTCCATCAAAAAGTCCTCCACGAAGACAAATTCCTCACAATGCTCAATCCAGGAGCTCCCTTGTCTTCTGTGTTTGGTTCAAAGTTACCAGGGTTGGGAATTGGACATTAATAGTCATAAACCCAAAAAATTGGGTCTGCTGTTCAATGACGGTTATAAAATAAGATAAAAGCTTAGTATGAGCAAAGGTAAGATCAACTAGAGCAAGCACAAAGACATAGAATTTAGAGGTTACAACAGTGATTTGGGTTATTTTTAGCAGCGTGATTTGATAATCACTAGAGCCCGGAAGTTGGATGCCCTTCTCTGCCTTTTTTAAACGTTTTCTTCTGAAAATGCCTTTTTCTTTCCTTTTGTTCATAAATGCCTATTTCTGTCTAATTTAAAATTTTTCTGCAAAGCTTTTTGTACTTTTGACCGAGCATAAACACAAAATGAAGAAGTACTGAAATGGTTGACTGTCATCCGACGTATTGTAATGCATTTATAGAGATTAGGACTTTATTCCTTTTGGGACAACTCCCTCCCTCTGAGGCAGTGGTCACCCCTCACACTGTACAATGGCTATTCATCTGAGCGGATAGGGTACTCGTGCTTGAGTGAGCAAGGCAGGTGAAAGACATTTTTCTGTCCATGAGATTGACAGTGTTGTTTGAATAGAATACAGAATACACTTAAAGCTGGAAATGCCTTAAAAGTTTTCTTTCCTAATATGATCCATCTAACATGCCTTGCTCATGCATTGCGCAGGATAGCAGAGGAAGTAAGAGGTCTCTATCCTGAGGTAGACTCGCTTGTTTCTAGTGTGAAAAAAGTATTTGTGAAAGCCCCTTCAAGTGTTCAAAGAAATTGCACCATACATTCAATTACCTCCTAAACCGATCCTTACTAGATGGGGAACATGGATTTCAGCATTCTCATACTACTGCACAAATTTTGAGGAAGTTACTCGGGTCCTTACCAGCTTTTCGGATGAAGAGGCAATATCCATAAGAAAAAGTAAAAGTCTGCTTAGCAGTTCTAAAATAAAAAATGAACTGACTTTTATTTCAACTTATTTTGGGAAGCTCCCTGGAGCTATTGAACACATGGAAAAAAGAAATAAGTCTTTGTCCGAGTCACTAAAGATTTTCGACAATACTATTCAAGAACTAATGTCTGTGCCTGGACCAGCTGGTGACAGAATAAAGAAGAAATGTGAAAACGTCATCTTTGCAAATACAGACTTTGAATGCATCAAGGACATTGCAAAAGTACTTTCTGGTGATACTACAGTTGCACTTACCATATCTCCTACCATGGCAAGTTGTTTTAGGCACACGCCCATAACCTCTGTCGAATTAGAAAGATCCTTCTCTTTGTTTAAAACTAAATTGACTGACAGGAGACAAAATTTCTCTTTTGAAAATTTGAAAAAGCATCTAGTTGTGATGTGCAACAACAACCAATCGTCAGAATAAATTTGCATACAATATTATTGTAAGTATGAGTTTTCAATTTTTATTTCACACTTACGCAGTTGAGGGTTTTTTTGGGTGCAATTATGTCCACTTCTTTTGTACTATTGCTACGACAGTCGAGTAAGATGAATATGTAGGTATACCGGATACTTCTAGCAACTTTTTTTATACCTTGGATACCTATATGGGCTTTTAGGCATTACCAACTACAATTTTGCTCCAATTTTAAGTGCCTTTTTTTAAGTGACTATTTCAAGCTTTTTAATTGCCTTTTTGCCTGCCTATTTTTGCATTTTTTATTGCCTGAAATTCCGGGCTTTAATAATCACATACTGAAAAAAAAAGTCAATTCAATATCTTTAATTTATTAGTTTTAAAATATGAATAATTTTTTTTAGAAGTCTGGACAGTCCTAGTAACTCATCTGAAATGGTGCACAGGACGCCGACTTCTGTTTCTGTAGATTCTGCTCCTCCTAATGTTACTTCTGTAAGTGGCATGTTGTCTGGAAGTCATGGTTTATCTTCTATGGATGACTCTGATTTAGAAGCTGATGCAGACCCACCAAATTGGCAAGAAAATGTTAATTGGGATGAATTGAAGGTGATGAAACCAAAAGAAAAGAAAAGGCAGGATGTTATAAATGGTAAGTTTATATACAGTTGATTAAATAATTTCGAATTAAAATATGTATTTAGAAATAAAATGAAAACCGAAAACCAAATAATATTATTATTTTTTTTTTTAATGATGTTAATTTTTATCTGTGCTCTAATGAGATGGAAAATATATGATATTTTAATAAATGATTCATAAATGATATTTTACGTTTTTAAAATTTTTTTAACCTCCTCCATCTTTTTGTCACACTTCACTCTACCCCTACCCTCTTTGTCACATGTCATGCTATATTACATAAACATATAACTCTCACAGTTTAGAAGCAGAAACGCTGTGTTATAGAACATATTTAAGATTTTTTAAAAACATTCATTGGTGTGTTTTAATGATATTTGCACGCATAATAATGATTATCTGTGTACTTATTTTGTAAGAAAAAATGAAGATTTACCACAAAAAACATAATTAATAATCATTAGTAGTAAAATATTAATATATATGTGCAATTGCAAACAGTGTTTAGGACCTTTAAGTGGAATATGCATTATTTATTATTATTTTTTTTTTCTAAAATTGTTAGAACTTTGTGGTAATGACCCAAATCTTTTTTTTCTTTCTAAATGGACCGAGTAGATTTCCATTTTATTTTTTAACTTTTACCTTAGACTAATTTAAACTTTAATCATGAGAAGACAAAAAATTTAATGAACACATTTTTTTATTCAAAATAATATCATTAGGAAAAAATATTTTAAAATAATGTAAAAAACAATTTAAACAATATATTTAATTTGTTGTTTTTAAATGTCTTTATTTCAACCAAAATGTGTGATGTGACACTTATTGTTACCTCCTGTTATAACTTGTGTCAAATTTTAAAAATTTTGCAAACCCCTCACTCCCCTCCAAGTGAGACATAATTTATGGATGGCCCCTAATTAAATTCATTATGCTTTTGTAGTTAAAACTGTTTGACTGCACTAAAAAAAAAAAAATTGCTTGCTTTAATTCAAAAGTTTAATGTGACTGATATTCATTAAAATAAGGCTAAAACTACTATGTTCTTAAATTTTTTTTTTAAGATTTTGCCCAACTATTAAACAGATTTAATTACCTCACTTACTCTCATTCTAGATTTTATATTTATAAAAACAAATCATTTTTATAGATAATAATTATGTTGTGAATATAACAGGTATAATCTGATTTATGACTTATTTACACTAAGTACTCCAGGTATCTTGAACATGTAGGTGCATACGACCTTTTTTTTATTCTGACTCTACCTGTATGAAGATAATTTTCTTAGTTACTTTTATAATATTCTATTATTTTTACTGATATGCTCTCCTTTTTTCTAAAATAAATGTCTGAAGAGGTTAAAGTTGATGCTAATAAAATTTAACCAGTTAATTTATTAGCTGATTTATAAAGAAAACAAATTATTTTTCTTCCCTGTGACTATTTCATGAGTTATTGTTGAATCATTAAGAGTTTTCTTTGATTCTTTCTATCTGCAGGATTATTAGACAAGATAATAGATCCATATAAAATAAAATTTGTTGTCATAAGTTTTAACTAATTAGTCTCTTGTAAAGTTAATCTAATCAATTCATTAGAAAGAAAAAAATCTAAATTTTATGTAAATATTTATTATATTTAAATACTTTTGATTTATAAATTTTTTTAAAATAAAATGTAGATTCTAGTGTTATAAACACAAAATTTTCTCATTTCAATGCTAATTGATATTATGAGGTGTGTAGCGTTTTTAAAAAGTGTTTAATGTTTATTTTCTTTTTTTAAAAAGACCTTAAAGGTGCTTTTTTCATTAGGTGTTTGGTGTTTTTAGAAAGTGCTTAATTTTCCCTTTTCCAAAATGAAATACAGTACCGAACCCGTTATCTGGAAATCGGAAAACCAAAAAACCGGAACAAAATTCGGTAAATTTTCCCGCCATTTAAAAAATAAAATTTTTTCCTGGTAAAATTTTAAGATTTTTCTTTTTTGAAAGATGTTTACCTTACCATCATTTTGGAATAATCATTAGTGTATTACTTCATCTTTTTTTCTTCTTTCTAAGATTATTTCCCCCAAATTTTTTTTTTTTAGTTGCTTTTAACAATAAAAAAAAACCGGCTTTTTGTAGCGATTCAGAAAACCGGAAAAATCAGTTATCCGGAATAGCGATGGTCCCGATCGTTACGGACAATCGGTTCCCTACTGTATTTTTCTTTACCATGTCGATTTTTGCTACAAATTATGTAAAAAGTGTGGTTTTCACATTGTTCTACTCAACAGTTTCACAATCCATTCCGGCGTACCATTATGCATAGTGTATGAAAGCTCCAATAATTTTACATGTTTGATGAAATACTTGTGGGTCCGCATGTGCATATACTGAGCTGGATTCGGTAGGAAGAATTCCTACTTCACCGCTGCATTTTGCAAAAGTTTCTCAACTACAGGCTTCATTTTCTGCCCTCTGAAATCGAACCAAAGATTCTCTCAAGTTTCAGCTTATTATGGGGATCAACTAAACATTGCCAAATTTTTTCAATTAATAACAACAGAACATTTTATTTCTCTTGTTAATTTCATTGGTGGTGAACCGCCATCGTCTTTGTCGCTGGCAAGCTAATGACCTTCTTGTTCTCCTCTTTTTAAAGATCAGTACCATAATCCTCAAGCTTGACTTGGGGATCATTCACTTATTACTTATTTTCACGTGGATCCACAAAGCAGTAAAGAATCACATAGTTTCATCTCAAAATTTCCATCTCCCTTTCATTTATTTATTTTAATAAAGATAGGAATCAATTGAGATTTTTAATCTTAATATTTTCATTGACCCACTAAATTCATGAAATTTTTTGAACTTTTATTATACTATATTTCTTTTATTTTACTTATTACTTTTTATTATTGTATTATTATTTTTAAAATTTTCAGTACTCTTAAGTTGTTTTATGAAAAATCTCAGTACTATTTTGAGGCAAGAGTTTAAGAAAGTATAAAGTGAGGAGCTTTCACTATTTTAAATGCAGAAAAAAAAAAACTTATACTATTTTTGTTTATCATTCCCCAAAACTTTAATTCATTTCTTAATGATCTGATTTAAAAACAATTTAAATAAAAATTTCAATTATCTCAGTTTTGTTAAATATAATAAGTGTAGGGACTGTTTTAAAATTTACTTCTGACAAAAATGTTTAGCTTCAATACTCGTATAAACATTTCAAAATTATTTAATTTTTTTAAATCATTTTACTAAAGAAATACTGTACTAAGTAATACATTTTAATAAAAATCTATTAGGGACCATTCATTAATTTACCTTGGTGATATGAATTTATTAGTTTTTTTAGTTTACTTAATTCTTTACTTATCTCTATAAATTCTGCATGATCAATAATATTAGCCATAGTAATGTTTTCTTGAATATGGTTTTATAAATAACTTTTATTGAAATCTAATAAACACACTTGATAATCTTTTTTAAGTAATAGTTAAATTAATTATAATTTTGAATTATACTTTTTACATAATTAAATAAATTAATTATTAATTAAAAAAATAGAATGAACCACTCAATATTGAATATATTTAAAAATTTTGCATAAATTGTTTTTATGTTGGCTAATATAATCAAGAAAAGAGTTCTTTGTCAGAAACTAGTTATTTTATCATGATCATGTGAAGTCTTTGAAAATTATTTTGCATTTTGTTAATATATATATGAAGAACTTGAAACAATAGCTTGAAATAAAGTGCTAATTTTTTGTTGAAAAATTTGGCTACACACCCTGTATTAGTTTAATTTTCTTTTTTTCAGAACTTTTCCATACTGAGAGAACTCATGTGAGAAATTTGAAAGTGCTTGACCGGTTATTTTATAAACCAATGCTTCAAGAACAGCTTCTGCCATCAGATTTTCTCAATTTACTCTTTCCAAACTTAGAAGAAATGTTGGAAATCCATACAACATTTAACAACAAAATGAAAGCTCGAAGAAAAGAAGAACCAGTTATTGGAGACATAGGACAACTAATGCTTGAAAGGGTAATTTTGTAGATTACTTCTCAAAGCTGTCGTTGATTAGCCGACCCAATTTTGAGTTCACGACTCCCAATGTTCAACTTCGTAACCTTGTAATTTTGGAGCCTAATCCAAAAGACAAGGGAACTCCTAGATCAAGTATTGGGAGAAATTTGCCTCCATGGTGAATTTTTTGCTGGAACTTAACCGTATTTGCATTACATGTAAAGGAAAAACACGAAAACCTCCGCGGTTAGCCTTATTCACAAGGAGACTCTAACCCGTAATCCGACTACCACTGAGAATAATTTACATTAGCACTGCTTTCGATTTGAGCCATTTGCGGAATTCGTATCGACCAGCCATCGCTGGGATTTAAACCCAATTCACCTCGTTGGGAGACGGACGCACTATCCCCTGAGCCACTACACCTCTATGATTCATTATTGAAACATTTTTTACTTTAACTCTTGTAGTTAGTTAAAATTAAATGCTTCCATATATTTTTTTCACTGATCAAAGAGGCTAATTCGAAATTTACTTCTTTTTTTTAAAATCAGAAATGTAATAAAAGTAGCTAGCAATGTATTTTTCCCTTAATTTACAAATTTGTTTAACGATTCTCACCATCACTGAAAATATCTAAAACAATTCTCTCATTATAAACAGAGTTTCTAAGATCCTTCAGATACTCAGATCGTGGCAGCAAAACTAAGAAAAATTAAATATATTTTATTTTTGTTTACATTCACACAATATTCAATTTCATAAACTCCAAACATCTGGTTTTAATTTTTAAGTTAAAGATAACTTCATAATTACAATATTGATGCTATGTGTCTAGTACTTTTTTAAGGACCGCATAAATCCTCTAAAATATTAAAATGCATATGTTTATTTCTACGAGCATTTATCACAATACAAAATGTATCTCAGTAAAATTGATGATAAAAACTTCATTGGCTTCAAAAAAATATTAAGAAGAAAATAAAAATTGATGTGTTTCGAATTTTTAAAAATAGACGTTTTTCAAGACTTGCTAAGCGGAAACTTCTACTACATGTGTACTTTTATTAACTTCTCCATATTTTTGGAAGTCAATAAAGTTTTTATTTTTTTGCTTCAGTTCAATAAGTTTATTCATTTAGTAATACAGCTTATTCAATTAATTCTCATGATATTAAAATAACTTTTACGTAAGATATTGGCGTAGGCTCTCAGATTCAAAAAATAATAATTAGTCACAACTTTCTAAAAAACAAAACAATGGAGTGAAATTTTTTTTTACTCTTAACCTTAAAAATTTATTTTTATGGTCGTCAAAAAATTTCGTTTACAATTGAAATTTCAAAAGTCGAATGAGAAAATGGCATGTCCACTTGAGCATTGTTCACTGAATTTATCCAACATATTGAATTAAGAATGATTAAATATTAATATATGTGCTTTAACATTTTTTGATCAAATAAAGCTATTAGCTGGCAAAGGTCACTGATGTTATCGTAAAAATATTTAAGAAATAGAATTGTGTATAGTTTAATTTTAAAAAGAGGGCTAACTCTTAACCAATCAAAAAATTCAAATTAGTTTTTTGCTCATCCCACTCAACTGGTTCCTAGTAGAGTGTTCTAATAGCGTCCTAGTACTGATCTTCCCCGTGCTTCAAGTTATCAGTATGCCAAATATCATCGTTTTCGAACGGATGATTTAGATGTCTATAAAGTACAGGCAGATATTTATTTATATGTATAGCAGAGATGATTGTGCTCCTGAAAAAATACGGATTTCCGGATTTTTTGCTAACCACAATCCAGATGTTTTAAGAAATCACTGATCGCATTTATGTATAAAAATTCTTGTATATTTTATGTAAAAATATTAGAACTAGAATTTATGCTTTGCATCTCTTTCATTTGTAAATATTTTTTCTGGTAGAATAATAAATGTGATTAGAGATAAAAGTAAACTTAATTATTTATTTAAACTGTACTGGAAAATATGAATGATTTAAATTTATAAAGACATTAATTTTTTTTTTAAATGCGTCATTAATGATTTTACTGAAGAAATTTTCAGGATTTTTGAGTTAGGCTCACAATCACTCCTGGTATAGATAAAGTGAAAAAGTTATGAAACTAACTTATTACTTTTTGCTAAATATTATTTTTTGAAATTAAAATTTTGCTTTTGCATTACTGATGAAATTTAATTTTAATTTTCTTAATTTATTTCATTGTTTTCCAGTTTGATGGTGCTGCAGGGGATCATCTGAAACAAGCTGCTGCTACTTATTGTCAGAACCAATCAATTGCACTTGAAAACTTGAAGTCAAGACAGAAAAAAGATACAAAGTTGGCTTTAAGTCTGGCTGTAAGTCATTTTTTTTTTAGTCATTTTCCATTTGTCACTTGTGATCTGAAATGATTTACTAAAACCATCTTAAAATATTTTATAACTTTATCTAAGTAGAAATAATGATTTAAACATTACTATCATCAAGCTAGACTCAAGATGGTTACAAACTTTCTGGTATTTTTTATATTATGTATTGTTACATGGTGACTTTGAATGCTTTAACTTAGTGTATAGAGACAATAAACAAGATTAAATAGAAATTATGAATAAATAACATACAGTAGGAAAAAAAATTTAGAATATTCTACTAAGCTGTGAACTAATTATATTTTAATTTGACTTAGCTTTAAAGTGGCTTAATCTTCCCTTAGTTACGAATAAGTGATTTCATAGTTGGTTTTTTAAGTATTTATTGTGCATTTAATTGATAAAAGTTCCTGCTAGTTTTACATTGTGGGGTAAAGGCCTTTTTTTAGAGTTGGTTAACATTTTTAAGTTAGACTGAAAAATTAAAACTCCTCCATTCTATTAACACTTCTGTTCAAATTGAGGAATACCAGAAATAAAAGATATTCATTTCTTAGTTTTCTGAAAACTGATAATTTTTATTGTAAGTTAGTGTTTAATCTTCATTTAACATGTATTTTCCTTTTTTTTCTTCTTTTTTTTCTTCCAATTGCTTTGGAGAAACAGTTTTTGAAGGTGTTATTATGTTCCTCTTTTTGTTTATTTGCTCCAATAAGAAATATTTATTAATATTTTAATACACAAATAAATTTCCTACTTAGTCAAATTTGGCTATCAGTACTCTGTTATGTAAAATATATAAGTCTATTTCCCTTTTTATTATAAAATTTTTTATGCAAATATAAGAATAATTCATAAATTCTATAAAAATCTATTCTTAAGAACATGAATTCTATTAAACAAATATAAGAATATAAACTTCTGTTGGAGTGCAGCAAATTTATTCTTAGATTTGTTTATAAGTTTTGTATAACATTGTTTAATCTACCCTATAATGCTACAAAATTAAAATTTCATTTTAATCATTATTTTTCTATTTACAAAAGTAGATTAATAGTTTTCACTTCTATAGATGAATTATAATATATTAATTTTTAATTAGTTTATGCATTATAATATAACACAATAAAAGCAAAAAGAGTAAAAGAAAAGAGAGATTATAACGAAGAAAATTAAGAAAAATAATAATGCTCACTTTGTATTGATATATTTTGCTTTGGCTAGATTAATACAATATTGGAAGGCACATTCCTTTTTTCGGATATAATAATGTGAGTTTATTACGAGATTATATCTTTTCCTTATTTTTTTTCCGGCTTTGATGTAATATATGTAAGTGTGTGTATGTATATATATATATTTATATTTTTAAAAAAAATTTAATAATTTTTTTTCTTCTTTAAAATAATCTTTATATGTTTTCTATATTTTTAACTTATTTTTTTGTATATATCATTTAGGATGCTGAAGCTAATAATTTGTGTCGGCGGCTTCAACTTAAAGATATAATTGCTTCTGGCTTCCAGAGGTTAACTAAATATCCCCTCCTTTTAGAAAATATTGCCAAATATACATCTCGTAAGTACAGAATTCATTTCACTAGTATTTATAAGCACAAATCTGATTTCTTTTTTTGTATTGCTTTTACAAATGTGTTTCTGTAAAGTATTATTGCAGATAATTTGTTGAAAGCTATTTTGTAAATATGGTTAGCATGAGCATCAATATTCTTTATTTATTGCTATGAAAGGCAGAATTTTGTTGTCTATTTTATTTTTTGAAAATTCATGAATATAAGATATGTTATTCTTAAAAAGGAAATTCTGTTGTTCACATGGTGAGCTTTATTTGTTTTTTAGGCACGTATGTAGTAAAATAACAGAATTAAGGGAAATCTCCCCAATATCTGTTTATCTTTTCCTTTGAAACAGTTTTTTTAAAAAAGGTTTTATCTGTAGTTGTAACAGTTTCATCAAACAAGCATTCATGTGTTTTAACATTAATTATTAAACATCTGAATAGTATTGAGACAACTGTATCTGTGCTTATTATTCTGTTTACAGTTTCTTTACTTTAAAGATATCTTCTATTTTCTCTTTTGAGTGTAGTAAAATGGTTTTAGAAAGGGGGTTATAAAAATTTAATATTTCAGCCAAACTATTAAAATTTATTTAATGTGTTTATCATCTGTCTAAAAATGTTTCCCTAATTAAATAAAATATATAATTCACATTAAATTTTTCTTTTATTAGTTCAAACTCTTGCATCTTTTTTTTTTTTACTTGTTTCTAATTTTTTTTTTTTTTTTTTAAAAATTTCTGATAACATTGCAAATTTTGTTAATATTTCTTTCCAGTTACTGATACTCATTTAAGGATGATATTATTTCATTCAACTTTGTTAAATTAGAACTTCTGATCTATGGTTACCTATTTTTTATTTTTTTAAAATCTTTTTTCCTACTTGAATTTTCAAATTAAATTCGACATAATTTCTATTCTATGGCTTGCAAAATTAAGTTTTTTAGCTGTACTTAACTGTAAAGAAAAAATTATGTCTCTTTTTATATTTTTCCTCTCTACAGCCTTTATTAACAATGTAATGAAACGCATCTGTTTATTTTAATCAATAATTTATTTTTAAATTATCTACATTCTTTTTCTTAAAAACGCAAAAAAATCTATTGACATTCTGGCCATTATTGGCAAGCATTTGGTCTTCCACAAACTCACTGATTTGCAACCTAACCCCAATCAATTAACTGCCACATCTTATTTAGTTGAGGGATATTAATTTTCAGTCAGAGCTCATTCTATGTAGGAAAAAGGGCAGGGTGCAAAAGTTTAAAAAAAGGGCATTATTACTTTAAAAAAGGCAATTTCTTTCTATGGGCTTTACACATTCTATTAATAAGCATTGTCAATTAGTAAATGAAAAATGTTTTTTTAAACTTTACTAACAGTAGCAAAGCAATCCTATTAATTACTAATTTTTATTACTAAATTAACATATATATCGAGCTAGTTAGCTTAGTAATTTATTTAAAATGCATGCATATGTTAATAAAATAATAAATGCATGTTTTTAAGTGTCTGTAGTTATGATTTATAAATTAAAATCATTAATAATAATTAATATTTAATGATAGTGGAAGTTACTGCAAACTTTCAAAGACTAGTGCAACAAGGGGGTGTGGTGGCTATTTTTCCTTTCCCATATAAATCTATGTATTGAGAGCAAGGACAAACTAAATAAAAAGAGTTGAAAATAACAAAAGTTTAAGAAATCTATTGTAGAGTTTGGGGAAAAAATAATGAAGGGTTGAGGAAAGAATGGGCAAAAAGGGTATGGAGTCTATTACATCGGGGCACTAATTTACTTCAGGGGCAACAGGGTGGATTCTTTTGATTAAAAGGGCAGCAGGGTGCTGTGCCCTGTTTACCCTGCCTAGAATGAGCTCTGTTTCAGTGAAATAGAAGCTAAGCAATTTTGAGATTATTCTGGCACTACAAAATTAACCTTCTATTATAGTTGATATAATTGAATTATAGTTGAAGAATCCTGGCCAAACATTTAGTATGATATCAAAGTAGAGCAATAGTAGAAAAAAGTTTTGTGTAACAGGCCAGTATCAACATAACATTTGTAACTGAGATCAATTTTCTGGATTAGAATTCAATTTATCAAAAGTAAAAGCAAAAAAATTTGTTTTATAATTGTAAGCTTAATATATATTTAATATTAAAGGTTAATATTATATATGTGCACTGTTTATTTTTGCGACGGTTAACGCACGTGCAATAATAATAGAGGTCGATGCAATCCATTGAAAGGTGCTGAATAATTAAATTAATTATGTCTGATAGTTTATTAATTTTATTTTTTTATTAAAACATTAGTTTTTTTTAGTACAGTAGAGAACCGATTATCCGGAACGATCGGGACTATCGCTATTCCGGATAACTGATTTTTCCGGTTTTCTGAATAGCTACAAAAAGCCGTTTTTTTGTGTTAAACCCAACTAAAAAAAAATAATATTTGGAAATAATCTTAAAAATAAGAAAAAAAGATGAAGTAATACACTAATGATTATTTCTGAAATGATGGTAAGTTAAACATCTTTCAAAAACGAAAGAAAAATCCTAAAATCTTATGAGGAAAAAAAATTTTTTTTTTAAAAATTGCGGGAAAATTTATCAAATTTCGTTCCGGTTTTTTGGTTTTCCGGTTTTCTGATTTCCGGATAACGGGTTCTGTACTGTAGTTGTAATAAGATTATTTTTTTTATAATTTTCTTTTTTTTCTATAATTATAGTATAGATTAGTGAAAACATCAGTGTATGGAATATAGTTTATTTTGTGATAGATTAATGTTCATAATAGACGTTTTTCTTGAATAATTGGATTGATCGGAATAATAACATATTTAAAGTAAAATTGAGCAAATATTTTGGAGTGATTGGACAAATGTTTTGAGTGTGATTTTTTTTTTTTATGGATTATTTTAGTTAATAAAACATTTTGATAATACAGTACAGAACCCGCTATCCGGAAATCGGAAAACCAAAAAACCAGAACGAAATTCAATAAATTTTCCTGCCATTTAAAAAAAAAAAATTTTTTTTTCCTCACAAGATTTTAGGATTTTCCTTTCTTTTTTGAAAGATGTTTACCTTACCATGATTTTGGAAATAATCATTAGTGTATTACTTCATTGTTTTTTCTTCTTTTTAAAATTATTTCACAAATTTTTTTTTTTAGTTGGGTTTAACAATAAAAAAAAAACGGCTTTTTGTAGCGATTCAGAAAATCGGAAAAATCAGTTATCCGGAATAGCGATGGTCCCGATCGTTCTGGATAATCGGTTCCCTACTGTACTGATATGGGCCAGGAGGTGGATGTTAGGGTTCCACAATTTTGTCACGTGATTGTGGCAATATGTATGCCTCATAACTGCCTTAAATTTCCAGACAAGCTGGTATTCTTTAATTTGGTGCTAGCAAGATTTCAAACAACCCTCGGGGATAGAACCCTCATCCTTCACAATGCTTAAGTAAACTCAATCAGTGTATTTGTTAATGAATGTGCCATTGTGGCTCTGAGTTATAATTTGAACCTTTGTTTCATAGCTTCAAAATTTAAAGTGGTTTTATAATTTTTTGATAGATTGTATGGAGTGTTTAAAAAGCATATAAATTATAAATTGTGCATCTTGTTACATTCAAGTTATTTAAATCAATTAAAAACATGTAAATTATAAATTGTGCATCTTGTTGCTTTCTTTTAAAATTAATTAAATGTAATTTTTTAATGAAAAAGTTTGTTTTTATATCTATTTGCCTATTTATTTCAATTTTAGAGTTGCTTTTTTAATTAACCTTTTTATATTTGTTTTATAGCAAATACCCAGGAACTAAGTGATTTGCAAAGGGCAGTAGAGTGTAGTAAAGAGATCTTGGTCCATGTTGATTCAGCCATCAAAGAATCTGAAAACATGCACAGGCTGTTAGACATTCAGAATAAGATGGATAAGAGTTTATTCGAGAAAATTGAGAAAGTTGAAAAAAATGAGAAGGAAAAGAAGAATGAAATTAATCCTATTGTAGAAAATTTTAAGGTAAGGCTACTAATAACTAAATATCTAAACTTTTCTTTCTCATCATTTCTTTATCTTACTCTTAAGAGGAAACAAATGGATAGTAACATAACATTTTAGTTAAAACTGTTTGTGTATACAAATTATGCTATTAAAATTCTTTGTATTTACTGCAACATGAAGAAAACTACTTTATTAGGACTTTTTAATAACTTCATTCTTTGTTCAATTAGAAGAAAAAAGCTTATAAGTCCATCAAAAAAAAAAAAAACTTTTGGGGTGCCAAAAAAATAATCACACTGCCAGAGTTTTTTTATTGGGCATTTATTAAACTGTAAAAAGAAGAAGAATAAAACTTAGGTAATAAATTATAATACAATGATAAATTGACTGGTAAAGATCGGGGTCATTAACTGGTAATTCAGATTTCTCATACTTTACAAGAGTTCTTTGTCTTCTCATTGGTTTTTCCTGCCATATTGCACAATGACTAGCTATACTCTTCATGCAACTGATTGTTGAATATAATATTAAATTTGGTTAAAAATCTTTAACACACTGAATCCAACAGTTCTTTTAAAGTTTTTTTTTAAAAAAAATAAAAATAAAATGGCTATTTCTTGCACAATTTTTCATTATTAAATCTATTAGGATATATAAGCTATTTTTACAAGTCTGTGGTGTCGTGTTACAGTGAATGTTGTATTTTTAAAGTAACCATACTTCAAAATGTTAATGTTGGAAACTGTAAAAAGTGTTGTTAGATACGGTGGGAGTAAAATATATATGGGACAACTAGCTAAACATATTTGTTAGGAGTCATCTTAAGAATTGTGAGCGGTAAAAAACTTCTGTTTCAGTATGAGAATTATTTACCCTAGTATGGCTACCGTTTTCCTGGACTGATCTAATATCTCCTGAAAATATAATGTGAATTATGCATGTTACTTTAGCAAATTTTAAATTTTTAAGATAAGAGATCTACAAGGAGTTTTAGTATACAGAGAAGACTGCATATTAAAATGCAACTTTTTAAGTGCAGAACCGTCAATAGGATAAAATTTTCATCAAATCCTTGGAAAGAAAAAAAACTTATTATCACTTTATTAATTGCAATGCATCTATTTATATTTTTTAAAACTATGATTAGGGGTATTCAAAAATTTTGACTTGGCATTTAAAATTATAACTTTAAAAAAAAAAATCATTTGTACAAAATATTGAAATTATGCAAAACCATTTTAAAGAAAAGGCTAGCATTCAACATCTTGCGTATGGCAAGAAGATTCTTTAATCTAGTGAATATTCATGAACTAGAAAACTATATGTGTGTCTTTTTTGTTAACTTTTTGACTTATTAATAACTTCTTTATTAATCTTGTTGATTTTTCGATAGTTTTTATTTTTTTCTGCATTTTTTTGTTTCAAACAAAATTAGGTTAAAAATGTTGAAATATGATAAATTATAAAATAAGTCAGGAAAATTGATTAGAAGTAAAAAATTGTTTTCATGATTACTCTTTAGTAATTTTAAAATTTTATTTATTTCATTGTTATTAGAACTTGGATGTGACACAACACAGACTTCTTCATGAAGGTTCTCTACTATGGCGCCTTAGTAAACAGAAAAATGTGGAAATGCATGTTGTCCTTCTGGAAGATATTTTGATACTATTTCAAAAACAGGATGAGAAATATGTTCTTAAGTTCCACAATACGAATTTAAATACTGGAAGGGAGGATATAAAAATAATGCACAGTCCCATTCTGAGGGTTCAAAATCTATTCACCCGTGATAATGCTACAGGTAAATATCATTACCTTTCTATCAATAGTTATATAATTTATCTGAATGTTAATTGTGTCACACCAAGCTATTTTAATGCAAAAATTGTGTTTTTACTTATATTTAAGCTGATGTGATATTTTCATACTTACCAGCTCCTATAGTAATTGAAAAATATTATTATTATGTATTTTTTTTAGTGATACCAACTTTTACTTTTTCATGTATGAATCATGGTTTTAAAATGCATTGTAATGACTTGAGACTTAACTAGTATGAGTGGAAAGAGATAGTTATTGCAACTAGATGGTTTCATGTATGGATCGTGAGAACAAGATAGACTTTTGCTTTAAAATTTTATGAAGCGGTTTGTGATTTTGATGAACAAGAGATATAAAGTTTGTTGTTTCATTTTTAGTTGAAGAGTGATCATTTACTGAATTTGAAGGAAACTGGCATTAAGATGTTACCAAATCTTTTATTGAATTAAAGATTTTGTTTTAAGTTCTGTATATTTGTTTACATCTTCTTATGTTAAGCTCTATGTATTTAAAATACAGTAAAAAAATGCTCTTCAAAATAAATTAACAGGGTTTTCGTGGCACCGAGAGAATACAAGGAATGGGTGAGAGAAACTAGGCTTGTATTCGTTCGGCAGTTGAAGTTGAGTTAAATGTTAGGATAATTCCACCATTTTTGAATGTATTTGCAGATTTTAAAATTACAATCAATTTAAATAAGTTGAGCAGTTCTAATAATATTTGTTTAAATAACTCTTTATGCCATTAAAATTTACTCCAAATTTTAGTAACTTTCATTAGTTTAATAGAACATTTTAAAAGATTTAATAATTTCATGCTATAATCTTTTACCGTTATAGGCTATGTCTGTCAGTAAGTTTTTAATTTTTTTAAAACTAATTGAAAGCTTTAATAAAATTGGAGCAAGTATAAATGACACCAAAAATGATTTTATCGAAATTATTAGAACTGTTTGATATTTTTTAAAGGAAATTTTTTGCATTTTTAATTAGTGTAAATATGACATTTATAAAAGGTAAAATTTTTCACATGTGGACTGAACCACAGTGCCTATGAGAGCTAATTTTGTATAGGTATTTAACTTATTACCAAGGTTTGAATTGTGCAGTTGCATTTTTAGTTTGAGTATTGAATGTTAATATTGCAAATGCTTCTCATTTTTGCTTTATTATTTATGTACATTATTTTTAGATAAAAGAACGTTTTTTATTATCTCCTCATCTGAAATGCACGCTATGTATGAGTTCGTTGCTGGAACTGCTTTAGAAAAAAAGATGTAAGTAAAAACTTCTAACTAATATATGTTCAAATTTTTACCTGCTTACTTTTTTATATGCAATAGATTCTACAAATCCACAATTTTTTGCTTTTTTATATGATTTTTCTGCCATTTAAAATTATTTTTATTTAATTTTCCTGTTTTTGTTATATTTTCAAAGATGTTTAAAAATAACCTCAGTGGCAGAATATCTTCCAAGCTTGCTTCAAAATCTATATAAACTAATCAAAGTCAACCTAATATCTGTAGATTGATTAAGATTGAGGGCAGGAGCTTGCAATTTGATTATTTTCATCATGTCTGATTAGGAATCATTTCCAAATTAATTTTTGTAAATTTACATATGGGATTAATTAAACTAAAAGTTTCTGTTGTCAGTTTAACAATCTTAAGTATTTTAAATTTATGTTTATATTTGTATATACAGGGTATCAGCGAACCTGGAAAGACACGAAAAATCATGAATTTTGATATTGAGCAAAATTTTTCATGAAATGTCATGATTTTAACTATTTTCAAACAAAATCATGGATTAGGTCAAAAAGTCATGGATTTAGGTTGCCGAAAAATCTAATTTTTAAAACGGAATTTACCCCCAGTTTCATAGTGTTCCGAGTATCTGAATTTGTAACAAAATCCCCACTCACAGTCATATTTGATTAAAATATAAAATGTTTTTATCGTGATCTTTAAAAATTATGGTGTTCTTTCAAGAAATGGAAGAAAAAACACCATTTCTAGAGCAAATTATCTTTTAAAATTCTGTGATTTCAGAATTTTTGTTATTATTTATTATTTTTATTTTAACAATCTAAAATTTTAGCTGAAGGCAAGCTAGTCATTGGCGAAATTTTTTTTTTCCGAAATGAGAACAGAAAAATCAGAAGTATTTTTTTTCTTTCCAATGAACAAGAAAAGTATCTTTAGAATGTAATTCTGCAAATGAAAGAAGAAGAAAAAATATTATTTTGTATTTTTTTCAGCTACAATACACTCTCGATTATCCGTGCACAGATTATCCGGTTTGCGGTTTATCCGTGCTGCTTTCGGAGTCACGAAATTTTTTTAAAGAGAAACATTTTAAAGATTATGATGCATGAATAGAAATCTTGTCAAATCAGTCTCGCTATTTATTAACAGAATATGAATCTAATGTTTTTCATTGATAATAATCGCTGCAATGAAGTTATAACACTTTTTGAAATTAATATTCATTATTGGATGCAGTATATGGAATATCATGGTCTACGTTTTCGTAGAGAAAGACCGCTTGATGAACAATCTTCTTCAGATATTGAAGAATAGGATAACAGTATTTTTGAACAAGGAAAAGAAATCGAAGGTTTCTTGATCAGGAAAATTCGTTTAAAGTGATGTATGTGAGCTTGACTTTCAGTATTTAACAGATGAGGAAATTGTTACTAACTGTGTTGTTAAATCAAATAGTGATGATGCAGAAGATGTAATAAATGAGGAAAATACAATTCCTGATTCTGCTGCTCTACAATCTGAGGAAACTTTATTAGATTGATTATATGGGAGAACGAGGATTTGATTACGGTGACATTACTACGGTACGTAAAATATGTGACAATATACGGCAAGAGATGAACAAACAGCAGAAGCAAAGACGCATTACACTTTTTTTAAGCAGTAAATTTTAAATTCCTAGTTTGATGTTATACAGCATACAAATGAAAGTAATTTTTATACTTTTTGTACTGATGTTCTTTTTTTCTTTTATAAAAAGGGAGTTTTCGGATTATCCGTGTTTTTCGACTGTCCGTGCGACCCGTCCCGGTGATTAACCCGGATGATCGGGAGTGCACTGTATTTTATTACTTCAACTCTATCTTTACTCTGGTTTTTAAATTTAAAATCTATAAATATGAAGATGCAAAGTATAACAGTTTTGGTTATACCTATCATTTCAGTTAATGTTTTTATAATGCTTTTTTTAATTTATTTATGTGTTTTTGTCAGAGAAAATAGCAACTTTGTTAAGTCATGAAAAATTCTTGGAATTAGAGTCATGAATTTGAAAATCTAAAATATAGCAGATACCCTGTATATGACAAACAAATTCTATTTAATTGAAACTTTTTGTTATTAACATTTCCTAATTCTAATTTTTTGAAGGCTATCTATTCTGATTAATTCATCTTTAAGTAATCAATTATTCCACTTGTTAAATATTAAAAAAGAAAAAAAGGTTATTATGTAGTATTAAATTTGGAACTTTTTAACCACAAAGTTTCTTTTAAATAAAATCATAGTTAAACTTGCTACAGAATTATCATTTGAAATCTTTTACTAAAGCTGTCTTATAATTATTATTTTTTTTAATTCCATATGCTTTTATTTTTATAATCATGTTGACATTAAAAAATAAGGTACATAAATGAAGTGTTTTCTATGTTAAACAGCTGGTGTACTCATATTGACAAAGCAGCACAAGAGCAGAAAAAACGCAACATGTTGAAGAATAACCTAGAAGCTCCCCACCCTGTCACAGATGTTCTTACACCCACTGAAGAACCTCTGTCCAGTGAAGTTGAAACGGACACTAAAGAGTAAGTATTCCATGAACACTTTTTTTGCGACTTTTTGACACAAGTTTCCTTAAGCTATTGATTCATAAATTGTGTATTTCAGTGCAGCACTGGCTAAATTATTTTCTTTAATTTTTAAGTTTATCATGAAATTTGCTAAAAAATAATTTTAGAACTTAAAATGTTTTTGAAGGGTTTGTATACATTTCTAGACGATTGTGACAGCACTATAATATTGATTTATAATTTGGCTATTATAATATTAATTTTTGACTTAAAGTATTAAATTAAATTTCATGACTGCATAAATAAAAGTATATTGAATCAATTTCAAATCAACGCTTTATTCTAGGCAACAGTGATACCAAACACTAAAATTGTCCTTAACACAGTATTAATAAAACATGTATAAATTTAACAAAATAACACTTCTGCCATTTTCTCAAATTAAAAGACGAAACCTAAATACAGTAAAGCGCTGATTATTTACATTCTGATTTACAGGGTTATGCAATCATCTGGAGCTTTCAAGGACTGTCTTTCTTCCCTTTTCCAAAAAGTGTTTCTTTTTTTTTTTCTCCTTCGAAAAATGCTTTTTATTATTAGAATACTGAAGGGGTAAGAAAATACCCTTTTTTACACAAATTGCTCCAACCCTATTATTAAAAACAAATACATATCTTTTTTAAATTTTCACAAAACTAAAAGTGGTTTAGAAAGTTTAATTTTTGATCAAGAAGCATAATATTAAAATTACATATCAAACAGGCAGGGCTGAGTGCTCCTTAAAAAATCCGGACTTTTCGCTAACAGTGATCCGGAAGTTTGCGGAGATCGAAGGTCCAGACATTTAAAAAAATCATTAATCACAGAAGTTTCCGGAAATCACGTTTTCAAAGGTGGAACTTAAAAGCACAGTTTATTTTATTTGTTTGTAAGGGAGAGCCAGAGATATACTTAGTAAGCTTATATTCATGATTAATATTCACTTTTTATCAGTAAATAGTTGTTATAATCATAAACCCAAGAAAGAAAGACATATTTCTAAATTTTAATTACTTCTCCTGGTCATCATAGGTATGTGTAAAATTTTAAAAATATTTCAAGTAAACTAAGAAATATGGAGAAAAAGGAACAAAAACCTTGTTTAAATTTTTTTCTAGTTTTTCAATTTAAACTTTTTTTTTAACTCAAGAAATTTTCCTTAATTTTTACTTTGACTCACAATCACCCCTGAGCAGGACACCAAAGAAACCAAAAATCGAAGGGCCTTTTATTAAATTATTAATGCTGTATAAAAAATAGGAATAATAAAATATTTAATTTGAATACCTCCAAATGAATACTGCTACTCTAAAGCTCCATACGTACTGAATAGACTGGATTAAAATCCTATAAACACATTAGTAACACAATTAATTCCCAATAGAGGAAAAGAATTCATAAAAAAATTAACTTTCTAATGTTTGAATTACCAGAAATACATATTGTTAGAAAACACTTATTTAAAATATGATAAAATAAATTTTAGCATAAAATCTATTAAATTTTGATAGTGGCTTCGATGGTGGGATATTAACAGTAATTCACCTTTTTAATTTTATGCTGTATACATTTATTTTATTTGATGATATAATCAATTATAGAGAAGTAGTAACCAGGCTATGATTATCTCATGAGCAGATGGGACCCTTGCCCAAAGCCCCTCATTATTAGGCCCCTTAAAATGTGATGGGATAAATTTTTAAATTTAATTTTTTATTTTATTATGTATCTTAAGGGTATTATTGTAGCTTTTGCTTTATGGAAATTAAATTGCTAATAATGTTTATATTTTAAAATGTTTCTTGGTTTTTTTTAGTAATTAAATATGAATAAATTTTAAGTTTGTTTTGAGATTGATGTTGATAACTTTTATCAAATTAGAAACAATGCAAATTTTATTTAATGAATTACTTTTAATTATTATTCATTGAGCTGTCTTATATTGGGTAAATAGTTTAATAACTTTATTATTATATTTTTTTTTTGGTTTACCTGTAGTTTTATTCTTTGAAAAGGATTAAAAATTTGGAAAAATTTAAGGACCTTCTCTGCCTAGGGCTGCAACCTTTTAAATGGTGCCCTGGCTGTAACTACTGCTGTAGAAACTTTTTCCAAACGAATCAATATAAGAACATCTATGTATTTTTATCTGATATAATTTTGATAATTTTTAAATATTAAAATGCAATTGAAAGAGCCTGTCACCATCACCAAAAAATTTTAAGAAAAAATCTACAATTATACTTTACATTTACTAAATTGAACCAATTTAAAATGTATTGACTGTAGGCAAATTTATGAGAGCTTATTTAACTATTTTTTATGAGTCTAACATATTTAATGTGATAGCTAAATAAATAAAGAGATTTTATTTAACATGAAAACTTACTCATTTGTTGTTGTTTTTCTTGTGATTTAATGTAAGAAGTACTCGATTCTAATTTAAATTTAAGTAAATAAAGATTTTAAAAAATGTGATATGTATAACATAAAGTATGATATTATTTGATTTTCCTGCTTCCCACTAATAGGTACTTATTCATTTGTTGAGAAACAATATCTTTTTATAGAATTAATGATTCATCTTATGATGAATCATCGATTGTGAAATGAATGACTTTTCAGAATAAATTTATGCACAGCAATAAAAAAAGAAAATCATTATTGCTCATCATTCTTCACTAAAAATCTTACTCATCTATTCTTTTTACTGTTGTTGTTTCTCGTTGGTTGTTTCTGGAGGCATTTCTGACTTTGTTGTGTCTATGTTACTTTTTGAAAATAGCACTATATCATATATCTACTAAACTGTCCCTTTTCATTCAAACTTAGCTTGTGCAATAAAAGGCAATAAATATTTTTAGACTGGAAGATAGTAAGAACTTAAAATTTTTTTTTTCCCTCTATAAAACATTTTTGAACCGTAATTTGTTTTATATTTCCAGATCAGAAAATCCTGTTGAAAGTAATAAAGAGCCAGATTCTTCTCATAAAGAGGATGAACCAAGTGATAATTTGCCAGTGAGTGATCCAGAACAGCCTGAACCGCGAGAACCACCCGATGGAATCCCTCAGAGAGCCCGGCAGTTTTCAGCTGGAGAAGAGCCTGGTGATTCGGGAGAACGTCAGAAGCCTTACCACAGAATTGAGCGCATAGAAATACTGGAGATCATGGAAGGTCCTCAGCTTATTGAACCTAATGAAGTTATTGTTACTGGTCCTGTTTGTGAGATAGCAGAACCTGTATTGACTCCTTTAGGTAAATTACTTTTAAGTTTTTAAAATTTTTTTCCCTTCGCCATTTCGAGTCCTTTAAAACCTAAACTTCGTTTTTAAATTTCTTTGTCACATTTGTCAGAATCTTTTAAATTAACAGTTATTTTTTAAAACTTTTGATTCTAAACCTTTTTGACACAATATATTTATTTAAAAAATTGTATAGATTTTTTTTCCTTAGCTCAGTTTGCCATTTTAAGCCCTTCAAGATTTCAAGTTTTGTTTTTTTAACTACATATGAGAAAATCTTATGGCTGAGTTTTTACTTTTGACCATTATCATTCTTTAAAAGAAAAAAAGTATATATTTTACTTATGTTTTTTAATATTTCACTAAATTAATATAAATATTTTTCATGTCTCATTTTTTGAAATAATAAGTCTTAATACTAATTGACATTTATACATTCTTTTTAAAAAAAAGAAAGGAAAACATTTTGTACATATGGATTACGTTAGAATTTTGCTAGAGACTTTAACAAAATTCAGCTCAAGTCTTATGTGTAATATTTTTTAAATCTTAGTTTTTTATTTAAATTAAAAAAGAAACATGTAGAAAAATAATTGATTTTGACTATGAAATCTATTTTAAAACTGACTCAGTTGTGCATGTGACTTATTTTACAGCCATTTCTACACTGGGTTGGCAAAGTTTTGACAAATAACAGTTTGAACAATCGTGTCAATTTTCAAAAATTATGATGTAGATGTAATAACTTCTTTTGATTGAAATTTAGGATAATCAGCTTTAGATCATTACAGAATTTGGACATAACTTTTCCATGCATAAATTAAAAATTGCAATTTGTTACAAAAATATTTCATAAAAATGGAAGAATTACTTCGAAAGATTTGAAAAGCAATTTTAAAAAAGGATAAGTGAGTTTAAAATCTTCTTTTAATATACTTTCTGCTAAAATGATAGCGCAGTTTTAATTCTCACATTTTGATAAGCATCAGAATTTTTTCTAATTATTTCTTCTAAGAATCTTTCATATAGTAAAATACAACTTATCTTGTCCTTCTATTTGTTATTATTATGTTTTTTATAGCTTATTGATATTGTGTACATTTTTTCTTTAGTTACTTCAATAAGGAAATGTTATCATTTAAATATTTTTCTCTTTTTAGAGAAACTCCGCCGAAAGGATATAGAAATATCTAAAGCTATAGAGGAAAAAGAAAAGATAACATCAGAAATATTAAATATCCCTCTTGAAGACTTGAAGAATATCTCAGAAAAAGTAACTAGTTTTATCATAAACTGTTTTAATTTAGTATCTTACTTGTGTAAATGTTAAAAAATCAGGATATACTTACAGTATACAACCTGATATGATTGCTAAGATAGCTCTAGAACGGCATTAATGAGCTATTAGCCTTTTTAGTATTAATATTGATCTGAATTCTTTGTAACAAAATTCATATTTTATTTACTGAAATGTTCAAAAATTCAGTGTTTCATGGTGAGAAAATTTGTATAAGGAACCAGGTAATACTTCTTAAGGGAAATGCTTTGAAAGCCGAGAAGTGCAAAATAAAGTACATTTTTATAGTCATATTTTTTTTATTATCAAGATCAAGGATAGCTTCCCAGTAAGAAACACTATTTACAAACAAAAAAAAAACATTTATTTTTTTCCCTATTTGCCATAAAGAACTGGCCATATATCAGAAATTCTTTTAATTTAAAACAGAATTTTTTTAAACTCGATTTCCGGAAGAAATGGGTTATTTACAGTTAAAAGTTATTCTTTTATGTTTTTGATAATAAAAATGTAAAACTTAAATTAATTTTATTATATTAAATACTTAATCATGCTACAAGGTAATATTTAGCATTCAGAAATAATTGTTCATCTATTTACCATGTGGTGTGTCTTAACACTTGTATTAAAGCCATGTGTTGACTGTAGTGGTTTGAATATAATGGGATACCTGCAAATGATGTAGTGTAGGATCTCAATCCTGATTTGTTATAGAAACTTGGCATTTGTTTACATTAGCAACTGTTCTTTCCATTCTATTTTGGGTAAGCCAGGCCCATCAAGTATCAATCAATTCTATTAAGTGATACATTCTGAGTTCTTTCACAGAGATTCTTTCTTAAATATTTCAATTCTTTCACTATATATTTACACAGAGATTTCACACAAAGGCAGGCATGAAGCCATGTGGAACATTTTTTTAATATTTCTAATGCCCACCTGTGTTAACATTTAGTCAATTCAGGCATTTACAGGGCAAATTAGTTGTCACTCTTTCTGGGGCACCATATTAGGTGGGCCAACATTGCTCCCACAGTGACACAGAGTAGCTCAGAGAATGAAAGAACATCCATGCCTTGCCCGGGATTTTAACCCAGAACCTTCCTGATGCAAGGCCAGATCCCTGACCCCTACACAGTCCGGTCAGCATTAACAAACTAATGGAATTAACTAATAGAAACGCAGCAAACTAATGGTGTGGTACACAGTGTTTTCATCGCAGAAAAAAAATGGGTGAGAATTTCTCACCCTTTCTCAAAAACAGGGTGAGATTTCAAAAAGTTAAGTGAGATTTCTAAAAATTAAAAAGCAAAAACACAAAGAGACATGAAAAAAATCATTTCTTTAATTATAATAAATTTTTAATATCTTCTAATCTTTAAAGTATTGAATATTTTTGCTGCATCATCATATGGAAAATGTTCTATATCTACTTTTTCATCAGCTATTCTCATTAGGTAACTCAAATGCGTATTTATTTCGTTTTGATCGTTTCTACCCACATTTGTTTCATTTTCATTTGTCCGTTTCGGAGTAGAAGATATTGCCTTTACAAGGTATTTGTCCACCTTGCATTAATGCTCAAAAAATTTGAACGTCTTACATGAAGAAACCTTACCTACAGTAAACACGTGGTTGCAGAGAAATGCGTTCTGAAAGAGGTTCGGACGAATGGTGTTCTGTAGTTCTTAAAGATTTTAACAATACTGGTAAACAGGGAAGCTAGATAATGGGGCAGATGTTGAAAATAATGAAAGATCCAGGTAGAAAAGTGAAACGGATTTTATTCTAAATGGCGCAATGCGAAATTTTTTTCAAAATGCGAGAAATTCGCGAATTTTGAAATTGGTTTATAGAATGCGCGAATTTCTTGCGGTAATCATTTTTTAATGCGAGAAAAGAAAAAAATATGCGAGATTCTCGCGTTCTCGCGCTGTAGTGAAAACACTGGGTACATAAGCAAACTAATTATGCATCGAAGCTGCCAGGTACACAAAACAAATCACTGTTACAATAAAATGCATAAACAAATAATAAATCTTAATTTATTTAAAAGAAGTAGACGAGAGTTATATTTCAACTAATTCAGTGTGCGATACGGCTCTGTATTTAATTTACTTAACGTTAATTAACATTCTAACTTATTTAGAGAGACTTGTCTCAACTTTAATATGCCATTTTGCTGATAAGAATTGGCTTTCGCTGACATCATAGGTCACATGTGTGGCTATGGGAGGTCTTCTTGGAGCCCAAGTACCCAATTGCGAAGTAAGGAGGCATTTTAAAATGTCTGAAGAATGTAAGATAATAATATTATTTTTGGTGTTTAAATAAGAAACATTGGAATCATCATGTTAACTACTACTTTACATTTAAAATAGCACACATAGCGACATAGCACACTAATTATTATTATTTTATTTATGATGGGGCAGTATCTTTCTACAAGATACAATATTTAAGAAGTATTTTTCCAAACACTATATTCTTTTTCAACTTGTTGAAAATATATCTAAGTAAATGTTAAATTTAAAAATAATTATCATTTTAAGTCTAATAAATAGTTATAGCTTTATGTTCTTATGACATATGAAATGAACAACAAAACTGCTGTTCATTATCATAGAATATTTTGTAAAGTTCCATTTGTATGGATACTTTTTTGTGTTTTATGTTCGCATTTTTTTTCTATAGGTCATTGATGATGTTCAAAGTTTATCATCTGTTGAGCTGGCAACATCAGCTGTTCAATTAGGTAAAGCAATGTTGTGAAATTAATTATTTTTTAAACATCTTGCTGGGTAACCATAAAATGTTTTTTTTTTCATTATTTCATTGGTTGGTTTTTAAATTTATTTTAAAAATATTATTAGGTAATAAATTATCATCCATTGTGAGTGGAAGCCTTAATATTGAAGAAACTATGGGTGCTTTTGATGCTGGTGGTAAGTTGTTCTTTTGTTCTAAATGTAAATTAGTAGTCATTCATTGATTGAATATTCGTGCATGAAGCGTAGTGTTTTTAAAAGGTGCTTATTTTCGATTTTTGTTTCTTAAAAGCCCTTAAAGGTGATTTTTTTCGTTTTGTGTTTTTAAAAAGTGCTTAATTTTCCCTTTTCAAAAATTAGATTTTTTTTTTCTTTACCATGTCTATTTTTGCCACATATTATGCAAAAGCGTGATTTTTTAATTGTTCTATTCAATGTTTTCACAATTCATTCAACTATAATCTATTCGGTTCATTTCATAGCTTATGAAACCGCCGATCATTTTACACGTTTGATGAAATACTTGCGAGTCCGTGTGTGCGTCTACTGAGATGAGTTCAATGAGATTATTCACTCTCATGTGCAACTCTGCTGCATTTTGCAAGATATTCTCAATTTCAGTCTTCTACCCTCTGAAATCAAACTGAAAAATCTCTCGATCTTTTTATGGTGGCTTATGTAATCAAGAAAAGAGTTTATTGTCTGAAACTTGTTATTTTATCATGATCATGTAAAGTCTTTGAAAATTATTTTGCATTTTGTTAATGTATATAGTGCTTAAAATATTCTTTGAGTTCTTAAAAAGTACTGAAAGGGTGCTTATTTTTTGTTGAGAAAGATTTGACTACACACCCTGTGATAACATTTTCAGGATTTATCGTTACTGTATTGTTGTGTGGAAAGAGTGCATCTTCAGTATTCGATCGCTGTGGTCAGAGATCAATATTTGAAATGAAAGACACGTTATGTTTTTTTTATATAATAGTTTATTTGCTGTATTTATGTAATCATTTTCTTCTAAGTATGGAAGTCTCGTGGAATAAATTATGGCTGCACCTTGCGAGAATGCTATTTCAGCTTCATCCCCCCCCGCATGCTCTTACTAAAATATAATTTAAACGTAGATCAATTTAAATCAAAGGAACCTCTTTTAGGACTTCTTCCATAAATGCAATAAGTCCTAAAAAAGTGATGATAGTTTCAACTATTTCAGTGATGAAATTTTTGGCGTATGGAAGTCAATCTGGGACTCAGAGCTAATCAAGTTCATGATTCTTAAAACTAGGCATTTGGCTTCGTTTATAAATTAATAAAATAAATAGTTGGTCGATAGGTTTGTAAATGGAATAAATATTATGAGAGATGTCGAAACACAGCGATCGAAAAAAAAGTTTTAAAAAATCTGGTGATCTAAATTTTGTGAACTTTAATGTGAAGAACTTATTGCTGAAATTTTGCATACACTGAAAAAAGTAGAAAAACTGTGCTTTATTTATTTTAAGCTTTAAAATCTAGTACTTACTCTTAGTTTTCTAGATTTTCCTATTTTTCTCATACTACTTTATATTCAGTAGAACCATATTTAGAAAACATGTGACAATAAGTTCCTTAATACTATATTTTAAAGCACTTAAACTACTATAAAATGCTTAAACTACTTAATTTTAATAAAGTTATTTCTTTCATATTTTTTTGTAAAATATTAATATGATTATTTATTATTAATTTTGGTTATTTGCTCTAATCTTAGTTTCTATTTCAGAATCCTTAAGCACGAGTGAAAAATCTAAAGAAGATCAGGAAATGTCAAGTCCCAAGAAAGAGCCGAAAAGTAGCTCAATTCAGTCTTTGCTGTCCTTATCTGCAAGTCTAAATCAATGCCTCACACAATTAATGGTATTAACTTTCTCTGCCACTCTTCTTTTGATAATAATTGTAACATAGTTCAATAATGGGATTTTTTCAATTATGCTCACTATTTTTAGTTTATTTTCTATATTATAAATTTTATTGCATGGTTTGTAATGGAATTAAGCTGCTTATTCGTGATAAGGTACACCACCACATGATAACATTTTATTTTACAAATCATTTTGGAAATTGAATCAAATTCAGTCTATTTTATGACATTGTGAAAATTCTCAGAAAACATGACATTATTACTCACTATTCATTTGATTGTTTTTCATATTAGTGGCATAATGGTTCTCATCAATGTTCAATGTTCTTTTACTTTAGATTACTGAAAACTTAATTTAAATATGCTGATGTTATAGTTTGAAACGTTGACATTATTAACTTTATTAAACGACAAAGAATAAAGTGGGCAGGCCACTTAAAAATGGATGAAGACTATACCACAAAAAGAGTTTTCAATGCCGCACCAGTTGGCGCAGAAAAAAGAGACAGGCCGAATTTGAGATGGATAGATGGCCTAGAAAAAGACCTTTTGGTCATAAAAACTTGAAAATGCTAGCAACAAAAAGGTAAGCCTGGAAGAAACTGTTTGAGAAGGCCAAGGCCCACCCTAAGATGTTGAGTCATTGATGATGATGCTATAGTTTTGCAAATTTAATTATAAATTTTATTTTTTGTTACAGATTAAATAAACAGCTGGAATCCTTATTTTATAAGACAATATAATATTAATGAAATTTCTTTTAATTATGGTTAGGTTAATTTTTTAATGCTTTGATTAGAGTAGCATTACTGGTGAGAACTAAATTACAATTAATTATTTTCATAATATTTACTTTAACTGTAATATAAAAAGAAAATCACTTTGTAATAGAGTCAGATGTTTCTACCATTGAAGCCAATTATGGATCCTAAATGATAGAAATAACTTTTCAAACATTTGAAAAATTAAGTCCCAAACACTTATTTTCAAAAAATTGCAAATTTTCTTTGCATTAGATTTTCGTGTAAATAAATCAATATAAAGGGATCTAGTTATACATGGTCAAAACATGACCTAACAGATATTGAAAGTTGTTTGGAATGCAAAACAGTTACCATACCAGTAAAAATACTTTAATTATGTGCTAAAAAGCATTATTTCATATAATGAAAGAGTCCACAAAGAAAAGCTTAATTATTTTATTTTTATCACAGGTTTCATTAATCAATGCTTAAGCGCCTGTGTACTACCAGAAATTTTGTTAGTATATATATATTTAATAAGGTCACATCACTATATGTTTGTGGCTTTGATTCAAAACATGTCAACTTTTTAAGGCATTAAAGATTTTTTATTGACTAGTGTCTTTGTTGCTTCTTTACTGATTGTGAATATCATTAGGTTGCAGTGAATAATGCAGAAGAAGAGAAGAAACTGCTGCGCAGTGAACTTGCTGTTTGTCAAGAACAAATTCATCAGATGCATGAGAGTCATAGGCATTGCTTCACTCAGTCATCTAGTGTTCATTCAAGGCCCTCCAGTTTTGTATCAGTGTCTTCAACAACATCCGATGGAACAGGAGAATATTTTGAAGTACCACACTTGTTTTCAGGTAATGCAACTTTTAAATCATAATTACTTTTTTCCAGTTTTACACCTTTTTCCAATATTATAAATGGGTTTTTGCAGCTAATCACATGATTGCGTCTAATCACGTGCTACGGCTTTAAGGCTTGGGCTTATCTAATCTAATTTCAGGTCAGATATCATTCGATAACTGCAAGCGACGATTAATCAGGGTGTATGTTAAACAGGGCGATGGGTGCAAATCTTCCGTCCCCAGGACAGATTTCTGTTTTTCGAAAATGTCCGCGGACGGAAGTAAGACGGAAATCGGAATATTATTTTTTTCTGTCCTTAAAAATTTTTTTTAGCTCTACGTTATTGGTCTAATTTCTTATGTCCTGTTGTTATTTTATCAAAAGTCAGATGAATAAATATTTTTTGTACAGTATTTAAGCTTGATGTATTATGGTAAAGCTTTCTTAGATAGTTTGCATATGGTGAGGGGGTATTGCGTATGTTAGGTATTTCAGTCAAAAAAGTTTCAGTCTTGGCCTTTTTTCCAACTTGCACCCATGAACAGGGCTAAAAAGGGAATTTATCAATCTGAAAAAACAAGGGTAAAGTGCGGGAAAACACACACTTTAGTGAATAAAAGGTAGAAAAAACAATTAATGTTTCCCTTTGTCTTACTCATTGGCTTTTTCATCTAATTTGTCTTCACTGTTTTTATTACTTCACTACAGCATGAATAGCTGTTGACTTACTCAAAGAATTATAACATTAATATTTAGTTAATGTTCAGAGTGCCTTTTAAAATATGAGTTTATTTTCAAAGAAAAACAATTAGTAAACTAAATGAATAACTGAACTAGTGCTCTTAACAAGATGGAGAATAGAGGAGTAGTGAAAAAAAAGTGAAGCTTGTTAAAAGTTGTACGTAACATAATTAAACAGAGCCATCCTTTGGCTAAAATAATAAACATTGAATTGGAAGATTACTCAAAATATGTATTTTATAAAAGCATAATACAAGAGAAGATCCGACTGATTAGTCAAACTGTTTTCAACATTCGACTCTCTTGGGCAGATCTGCCTAAACCCTTCAAGAAATGTGATTTTTTAACTAATGGTTTAATTAATATATCTGATCTATTAAATTCAGTGTTTATCTATTTAGCTATTGCATTATCCAAAACTAAATTTCTCAACAAAAAAAAAAAGAGAAAAAATCAACATCTGTATGCTTAGTCCAATGTTTCTCTACTGAAGAACTTACAAAATTTATAGCTGCTTAATTGTTGCCAAACAATTTAATTTTAAGTGATAATAAACTTAAAGTTTTGCCTTCATCTAATATATTTTTTAACCAAATTGGTTAGTTTTGCAGCTTCTGCCATTGATACGTATTCAGCCTCCGTAGAGAATAAGATCATGTATATCCGTTTTGTTGATTTCCAGGAAATTGGTACCTGATCAATAGAAATTGTCATACCACTAGTTGAGACTCTGCCATCTCTATTATTTGTAGCAAAATCAGCATCTGAGAAATAATTTAAATTAAAAGAACTAATTTTATTTAAACTGAACTTATAATCTTTGGTGTCATTTAAATAGCCTAATAATCTAAGCAAAATATTGCAGCAGTGTTTAATATCTATATTCTCTTGAAATTGTGGTATCATATTGACTGCATAACTCAAATTTGGTCTAGCTCAATTTTCAACAAAAGCCAAATGTCCTAGTATTTTTTCTAAATGGAAATTTTGACATCTCATCTTTAAATACAATATTGTTTAGATAATCCAATTTAGTTAGAACTATAACTATAGCAACAGGTAGTGATGAACTTAGTATTATACTCATATCATTTGCAAAATATACCAAACATTCATGCAGTTTTCCTTTGTTGATTATACTTGATCTTCTTAATAGTTGAGTGTTTTCTTTTTTTTATTTTGTTTGCAGGCCTAGGATTTAATTCTTCTTTGGCAATTATTTTTTCTTCATCATTGGATGTGTTATGTTGTGCAGATATCATTGGATTTTTCTAACTTGTTAGAATCTTCAATAAATTGAGCAGTTCTGCTCATGATACTGTTTGTATCTGAAATAAAGTCAAAAAAAATTGCTATAAAGCATTATTGTATAGCATTAAATGTAGTAATTCTTCTCCCATATAGCAGCGCCTAAACAAAATATTTGTTAATCACAACAAATAAAAAATTTTGATGTATTTATTGTATTTAATGTTTTTTAAACCACATGCTTATTTTCCTCTTTTTTTAAAAAAAATCCGATATCTGTAAAATACTCTATTTTTGGCAAATTATGACTGTGAAGTTTTCGTGTATTTCTATTTATTTTTTTTTTCTTCCTTCTTCCTTTTAGTATTAGAGAAGACTGAAGAATCTGTTGATTCAGATATTCAAAGCCCAATTTACGAAGATGTCCCCAAAAGCCCACAATTCTCTAGTCCAATTAATGAAAGTGCTCTTCAACCCAAAAGTTGTAATAGACTCAATGAATCTGTCGATAGGACTTGTGATCCGCTATCTTCAAACTGTGATGTGCGAAACATAGATTCTGGTGAAGTGCCGTGCACTTCGGATCAGAAGACAGAAAAAGATACAGTAGAAAACACGGAAGAGGTGCTAGACTCTTACTGCAGGACATTTGATGAGCAACACAAAGTAGATCCTGTGTACCTCTGATTGTATATTTAAGAAGAAAAGAACCTCAGCTCTGCATAATAGTGTCTTAAGCTTAACCTATGCCTAGTTATTTTGCAGATATGAGCTATTTGTAAACATATGTATATTGGACTCCTTTTATCCCCCTTCCTACCCTTGTATATGAGAGTTGTGCAGAAATATATATTAATTGTGATTGTCTTAGTTTTTTTTTTTTTTTTTTCATTTCCCTATAAAGGAAGTAACAAAATTCTGAAAAATGTATGTAAAAGTGTGTGTTTTGTGTTGTATATTTTTTATTTATTGTACAAAAAAAGCAAGTTATGTTTACACGGGTGAGAAAATAATTAACTAATTATATTTGAAATTTTAATAAAATCTTGTGAAATCAGCATTTATTTATTTTTATTTGCAAATTTATCGCAGAACTGTGGAATAATTTATGTTTAGTGTTTCGCTATCGAAATTTCTTATCAAAATCTGAATATCAGATTAATTGTGCTATCTAATATTGTGATATTTCTTTATTTTTAGTGGTTTTTATTTTTCTTTCAAATATCTTATTCTTTTTCTGCTACCCTCATAGGATATAAAATTAGAAATTATGCCCTAATGTAATTATTTTTTGTTTTATTTATGTATTTCAGTTTTTGTCACTTTAATGATATAATTCTATTTTCAATATCAAGTATGATTTTTTTTCTCTAAAAGGAAACTTTTTAATAAATACTTAAATATTATTTGTGGGTTATTATACAAGTTGGGGAAACTAAAATTAGGAAGCAGTCAATGATAAATAATTTAACATCACAAAAAAAAAGTGCTGAGTGGGACATAATTTAATGTTAATATTTGTTATTAGTTACTTTTATAAAACAAACAGAATTTGATAGTCGAGCGTAATTGTTTTCTGTATGTGTGAGATTTATCACTTTAATGTTTTAGTTCACTGCAAATTATTTCTATTTATTTAAAACAATAATAAAACTGCATTTAGTTTTGAGCAACAGTGGTGTAAAGATAATGTATATGTAATATATAATCTGATCACATCATTCAGTTAAACTTATCTTTATTGAAGATCATTAATACCTGTTAAAACTAGTTAACACACTTTATTATTTTAGTTATTTTCTTTTGTGCTACTGTAAATTTTATTAATATTTGCATTTGAAATGGTTAATGTTTAATAATTATTTTTCATCTTAAAAAATAAATAAGAAATAATTATTTAGAATTTTGTTGCCTTGGTTGTGTGTTTTTGTTTATGGAAGGTTTATGTAAACTAAAGGAATTATTATTATTTTTTTTTTTTTGGAAAACATAAGCATATTTTATTTTTAACAAAAATGTAATTATAAGAAATTTTAAAAAAACTATAAATTTTTTGATGTATAATTTATTCTTTAAGTCGTTTAAAATACAAGTTTAATAAACATGTTTTATCGCTTTCAGTTTCCTCTGCAATAAAATTTGCAACATGTCTACTTAAATTAAATGTGTTTTCTAACAGAAGAACATTCATTTCATATTTTAAGATGAAAATTCATTTTTGGTTTATCTTAATTTACACACTCAGGCTCAAAGTGCAAAATATAAAACAACACCTTAAAAGCTTTTCATCGAATGATGAGATTTTTACATTAGATGCCATTTTGAAGAGATAACATTAAAGAATATAACCGATTAGTGGAGACGATATTTTATAAAATTAGACACAGAAATGTTCTTTCTCTGAATAACGTTATTCTTTTTTATTAGTTGGGGAATGAGTTTAGTATGGGGAATAGCCACAATTTGTAATACATGGTCTCAATAGGCCTTGCTATTAAACTTTCAACTTCTTTTCTGGCAATATTATTTGGCCCTTACTGTATGGATGGTTGACTGAATGTAAACAATAACAAGCCTCCTTAAACCGGAAGAAATTTAGAAAACTTCCAGTGTATCCCTCCGCTTATGTTATGCTTACGAGGCGATGTATGAACAGGCTTAATATTCTAGGAAGATTGTAATTTGCGCGTAATTTTACCATTTATAAGAGTTTCCCGTACTTTACAAATTCTAACTGGCTGTGAGCCTGAAATAAATTTCAGAAAATTAATATCGAAACATAAATAAAGTGTGTGGTTTGCCGTGTGTTGAAAAGTTATCCCTTATTTGGCTGTATTTGTGTAAAATAACACCGTTTGATATTTTTCGGGTTGCGTCATAGCATGCTTGCGAAGTATTCCGAATTCATTTATTGTTTCTTCTGTTGAAATTTAAGGAATGCGTTATATTATAAACACTATTGTATAATAATATTTGACGGTGCTCTTTTTTAAGTTTTGGCGTAAAAATCAATTGGAAGTAATAATCCGGAAATCTTACAGCGAATTTAACCCCCGTGCTTAGCTTTACTTGGTCAACCATCTATAGATTTTTGCTACCCCTCATATTTTTAAAATCAAAAATCTAAGTTTTTTTTTCTTTTTTTTTTTTCTCTTTAATGTTTATTTAGAGGAAAATATCCTTTGTACAAATTTTAATCCTGCAAACCCTTTAGATTTTTTACTGTCTATATTTCCTTTGACAAACTTTCAATGAAGTTATTTATTACTGACTCAACCTATAATTGTTGACTATTGCTAAATGTATGGATTTCACAGGATTTTATATACTTAGTGAAATATTTTTTCCTCACCTCTGTAGAACAGTTGAGGCTGGGCTATCACTCAGTTATTTGGATATCTTAGGATATCATCTATCTGGTTACTGCCAGGTTGTAAAAATTAAATTGAACATTATGGTGCTCTTGGCAGTGTTAAAGGCCTTTAGTAATTATGAAACTTATATATATATATATATATCCTATAGATATTAGATGTTTATTTTTAGACATCTTAAAAACCGAGATTTAATTTGAATCCATTGGAATGGATTACAAGAGTATTTTGTAGATACAAATAAATCTCTCTATGTAATATTTATATATATATTGCTGCCGTTACTTTTCTAATTGATAATCTGTGCCCTTATGAAGTATAAAATTTAGACATATTTTTGCTATTTTTAACTGTAGTTAATTAATATTTTTATGTAAATATGTCTACTTATATTTTAAAACTATCAATTGCTAAAATTTCCTTTAAGTTGTGCACAAGTCGAATATAATTTGAATATTTTTAAATTATAATGCATATTATATCAAGTATTACTTTTTTTTTAAAAAAGTTCTATATTAGCAGTAAAACTTATTATTATTCATACTCTCTATACTGGTATAGATTATTATTACATATCATTATTGTAAATAGATCGACGCACATCGAGCTAGTTCTGGTTTCACTAGCGTTAATTCTTTTAGTCCCTTGAGCAACACTACTGATATTTAGTTTTAAGATAAATATTTTTAAATATGCTGTAGAAGTGTCAAAATAGTTATTCGCTGAGCAATAAATATTTTTAAAATTACTTATGTTTTTTTTTTTTGCTTCATATTAATTTACCTCCACCATCTCCATCCATTTGCTACTAAAATTCTCCAAAGTTTTGAAAAGAGCTTGAAATAATAACAAAGGTGGAAATAGACTGTTTTCCCATTAATATTGTAGTATGGGATAATTATTATTATAATGTTAATTAAAAATGTTTTAAAATTAATTTTTAAGTAAGAATTCTATAATTGGTTTGCTTTACAATTTATGTTCTTGAAATTAAATAAGATATACTTTTGAGTTTTAAATTGTATTCATGTTCTAAGATATTTTTCGGCTTATAATTGTGATAAAGCAAGAGTAAAGAGTAACCCTTGTAAAATATTTTTGAATTCAAATAAAACATAATGTACTAACATATTCTCTGGTTTTTAAATTGTGATGCAGCAAAGCCTAATCGTTGTCTTCTACATTTCGTTGATTTTTTTTTTTTTTTTAAATCCTGATATTTTAATTTTCAGTTATAAACTTTAACGTTTGAGGAAAATACTTTTTTTTTGCTTTTAAATTGCAGCAACAATCATAGTTTTGTGTGTCTGCAATAAGTATAATAGAAAGAATGGAAAGGTAATAAAATTTGGTTTTGTTGTAAATTAGGTTTGAAAGATAACTTAAATATTTCTCATAAAATTTGTTAAGAAAGTAGAGTTTGCTTTTACTTTATTAAAATTTAGATGGAATCTCTTTTATGTAATTTCATGTTTATTATCTGTAAAAAATGTCACATAAACCTTTTAGAGAGTTTTAATATTGTAGTTAACATTGATTTTCTATGGTTTATGTAAATTTAATAACTGTTGTATTAACAAGGTTTATCTTTTGATGTTTCCATTTTTAAATTTGAATTAAAAAATAAAAGTAGTTAATTCTGAGCCCTCATTTTGAATTGTTTAATTTAGAATTCTACTTACATAACCTTTAAGTACCTATGTTTCTATGTATTTATAGTTTCTATATTAGAAAACATATTGACTAGATTTATGAAAAATGTTACTGATTGTCATAATTGAAGAGCTGAGTAAATTGTTTTAAGTGACTTTTATTGAAAGTTTATTTCTTGTCTATAAGCTTAAAATCTCTTAACACTTTTGTAAACCATTTCGACTGCCAAAACAAAGGCTTTTTGAGGATACTTATTGGCTGTTTATTGCCAAATTGACTTGGAACCTTCTTCCACTCAGATAAAACTCTATCTCTTATCTCCTTCATCTATCGAGAATTTAATGACTTGATAAAATAAATCAATATTGTATAGTTAAATAAAATGTTAATATTTTAAGCACCTCTATTCGTTAAGCTCTTTAACTGCCAGCAGCAATCATGATTTCAACTAATACTAAATTATAATTGCTAACAAAATTGTTTAAAAGTAATCATATTTAGAGGTAATCACATAAATTATGGGTACTTAAAGGTTCAATAAAAAAAAATTTGCTAAAAGAAAATTTTTTTCACTTTCACTTATTTTTAAAAATATTTTTATTTTTTAGATGACTAATAGACTAAGAGTATTTCATGAAGAGGTTATATTAATTTCAAACACTAGTTTACTTTATAGTTTAAAATTTTATTTATCTCTTCTCAAATGAACAGGTTTTTGAAATTTTTTTGGTGATTTTGAATATTTTTAAATTGAGCAACCCCTAAAACGAGAAACATTGCTCGTTCATATGTATGTATATATAGTGTATGTATGTTTTTTAGATTATGACTAGTGTTAAACTTTATTTTTCTAAACATAGCTATATAAAAACTATTAAAAGAAATATTTGACTCATTAAAATATGTTTATGTGTTTCTATTAAATAAATAGTAGTGCTACTTAACTGTTCCTTATTAAGACAATCTAATTTTTTCTACCGGTGATTTCTATTCTTTTAATCATTCATCATTTTCATTTTCTCAGTTGGGACTT